TATATATATATATATATGTTTTAGAAAAAATATCGTTATTTGTAACTTTTTATATTGATGTTTGACTGTTTGTTTTTACAAAAGAGATTCCAAACTTTGTGTATTTACCACAAGAGGAAATAAAGATTTTTACATCATCTTCAATTCGAAAAACTAGCAAACATGGTGACTTTCAAAGAAGATTGTTGATTACAAGGTAAAATTAAAGTAAAAGGCTGTTTACCTAAATGTTTACCCAATAAACACTTACCAGTAGCCAGTAGGAGTTAACATTATAATTTATTTTATTGGATAAAATTGTAGTATATCAAAACGGTATCCTATGCAACAATTACCTGGTAAGCGTTTGCCCAGATAAAAGACGTCATTCTCACTTACCGGGTAAGACTCTCCATTCTTATCATCGCTCTTACTAGGTAAGATTTTTAGTCATTGTCATGTTCATACCTTGAAAAAAATTACCCGATAAGCGTTTAGTAAATGACCTCTAAATTTAAGATACTATAATAAATCATTTAACTTAACAAACAAATTTCATATCCATATGAGAAGTGAGAATTTGTTTGTTAAGTTAAAATGTGAATAGTTGTTTTTTCCCTTACCCCATTTTTTTATAACAAGTAAATAGTTGTCTTTTAAAATGTGTCAGAAGTTGTTATGCATATTGTTTTTAGGGTTCGGTTTTTGTGAGACTCATGGGATCATGTTTTTACATTTGAAACTTCACAGCAAAACATTATAAAGATAAAAAAAATTATTTGATCGGTTTAATCTTGTTTGCAATCTTTCAGATGTTGATTTTTAAATTTTAACTTCGATAATTAATGCAACAACAATTTATGGGGTTTTCTTTATTCTTTTGGCTTTGCACGGAAATCGTGATGTTTACGGACTCGTATCAATTTGATTTTCAATTTTGCCTCTTATCAATTTTTCAATATGATTTGGTATTTTCATTTGGTGATGTTGATTATTTTCTGCCTAAGCAGTTGTCAGTGTGGTTTTTAGGGATTTCTAAGTTAATTTCTTGACCTAGGGAATTTTCCAATATCGTTGGTTTCAAGAGTTTTATTTGTGCTGGATCAGTTAAATTTTAGTTGATTATATGAATCTAACTGCTTCTCAACCTAGAGTTTTTTTTCCTAGTATTGTTGGTTTCAACTGAGCAAAATTTTGATGGTTTAAAAAATAGACATCATCACATTTAATATGATTGTACAAGTATAAGTATATGATTAGTACATGTTGCCTTTGGCATGTAGCACAATTGACAAATGAGTGGGGTGATTTTGTCTAGATACAAGACAGTTCATGGGTTCAATCTCAGACCCACTGCTAGCCTTAATCGTTAAGTAAGTCAAAAAAATTCCCTGTTATATTAATGTTCTTGAAGACAAGTTCTATTTAAAATTGATTGGAATTGTCTTTAATCAACTTTTTATCCAAATATGATTAATTCATGTTTTATAACATATTTATACTATATTATAAAGCATTTGACAAAAACTCTTAAAAACTATTTTTTATGCGTAAAATATTGTTTAATAATGCATATTACTTAAAACTCAAGATTACAAGTAGATTATGCGTAAGTACAACTTATTAAAGCTCCATATCTAAATTCGTATAACTAACTGCAGATAAACATAACCAAATACATGATAAACATCTCATTTTAAATATTAAAAAATCTAAAATATAATTAGGATAATTATTGAGTTCTAACAGAATACTTAATTATTATCTTTATAAAATGTTATATTATTAAATCAAAAATAAATTATTTCGTTATTAAACTTAAATTAAGTTATAATAAAAAAATTAAAGAAATTACATACAAAATAAGAACTTTTAAATAGTTGATTTGATATTAACATTGATATATTTTTTTTTCAAATTTAAATTTTTATTCAAAAATAAAATCATCATTGTGTTCTTAAAAACACATAAAATCGTATTATAACATCAACAGAGACAAATGATAAAACAAAACATTAAAATCGATAAACAATATGCAAATTACATGGGACTAATGGCTTTTATTAATTGGGCTGGGCCATAGACATTAAGCCCAGGATTTCAGAAATTTTATTTTTCGGAGCCCTAAGATTTTGCGATTTCTCTCCCCCCCTCTCTCTCTCTCTCACACACACACACGCACACACACGCACGGCTTTCTGACTATACCGGAAATGGAGTATGTGAACCCTGAAGGACTTCGTTTAGATGGACGGCGTCCCATGGAGGTGCTGAGTTGTATCAATTCTGTAATTTTCATTTGATTGTGTGATGTTTTTTTTTCTGATTTCATTCATTCTTTGAATATATTCTTTTGTTTGGTTTTGATTTCAGATGAGACAGCTTCGAGCAGAAATCGGTGCTGTTTCCGGAGCCGATGGGTAAGGTTTTTGTATTTAATAGTACTACATGTTCAAACACTCAAGAGTAAAGTCATTTGTGAAAATTCGAATTGGTTAAGTTAGTCTGAAATTTCTCGATTATAATGATGGTAGGTCGGCAATGTTTGAGATGGGTAACACCAAAGTCATTGCTGCAGTTTATGGTCCTCGAGAGGTACATTTATTCATTACCTTTTTCTGTTTATATTTCTTTCCTTACCGAAGCTGGTGTTTTTTTGAGCGACATTGTGATTTTCAATTCGATAATATGGGTTTAATACTATAGAAGTGTCAGGAGTGGCTTGCCTTTTTTAACATAGCTCAATTGGATAGACCAAACCACAAAAAGGTAGGGGCTGGGGTAGCATGTAGGCATACTTTGCTTCTGCCGACAGGATGGAGAGGCTGTTTCGTGAGAACACCCGTCTTGCAAAGCAAAAACAAAAATACAAGGAGATAGGTGAGGAAAGTAGCATAAATTAGTATTAGAGGAGTGTGTGCAAACATGCAACATGTATAGTGAAAAAAAAGGAAGCATCAGCATGAGTTATAACAAATAGGGAATCCAAAAGCGCAGAACCGACAGCTCCAAAGCAGGAAGGAAAACCAAGAAAGAGATACGGGAAAGGCTGGAAAAACTAAAATTGACTTAACTACGATATGAGAGGTAGGAAAAAAGTAACACAACTCTCTATAAACCATAAGGCTATAGTAATCTAAGGGCCACCTCTCCACCCCCGAGCCAACCCTCTACCTTCTTCAAACTCTCTTCCCATCCATGTTAGCTACATGTCCCCTTCATAGCCCACTACTCCATAGTTGTTAAAAGCATGCATGAGGTGCGCCTAGGGTCTAAGGTTGATAAGGCTGAAGGTCTTGGGCTTTTTTAAAGTTGAAGCTAGGCGAATTCACGGGGCTCACTAAGGCGGTGTGTCTTGGCTGAGGCGCTTTGTGGTCCTAGGCATGCCTCATGAAGAGTTGTTACATACTTAGTCAAACTCTAGTACTAAATAAGTTTTTCTCATTTTCTCATCTCCTAGACTTCATTAAACAAGAATTATTAAATAGATGACATAAGTGAAACCCCAATATTAAAAATCTAGTCCTTAGAACTTCAAGCCATCTTCTCTATAAAGACCCAGACCTTAAAACTTCTCCATCATGGCTCCGCTTTAAACCCTTCTCCCTTCTGCCCCTATCAAAGTACTATTGGTTGCTGCATTGGAGGCTTGTATTTGCTGCATATTTGAGTTGTGTATAACTGTGTGTGTATTATTTATAAGACGCCTTGCATTCCTGAAGTGCGCGCCTCACTCCCGCGCCTAGCGCCTAGGCCCCAGGATCCCTTTGCGCCTAAGTGCGCCTTGAGCCTTTAACAACCTTGTGCTACCCTAATTTTATGTCTCCAAGCGCTTCTATCAGAAGTCATATTCTTATAGATATTTTAGGTTGCTATGTCCCTCCTCAGTTGTTCTTCTCCTGTTCCCCTTGGCCCCTCCTGTCCTCTTCACCCCCTCGACCATAATACTTTCTATCCTTCTCATTGATGCTGTCAACTGTCCCCATGTACGTGTCTGGACCACCTAAATATCTATAAAGTAGCTGGCTTGATTTCAAGGACACTGCAATTCATGGTCAAAATTCAGCATTTGCTCCAAAGAAAGTGTCATGGTTAAATGATGTATGCAAGTTACCAATGTGGGATTAGGTTTATAGAATCTATCCTTTGGTTGAGTTAAATTGTTATCAATGAATTGCCACTTAAGAGGGTAAGTTTAAATGGAACTTGTTTTTCTTCTTACCAGTGCATTTTCTGTGTGACTAGATTTATAGCATCTATTCTATGGTTTTGAATTGAAACTGTTGTTAATGTAATGCCAGTTAAGGGGGTTCAAGATAGGGTGAGGTAGTCAAAGGAGCCTCCATAAAACCTCATCAGACAGGTGGCAGAAGCTGATAGAAGGGGGTGATGAGCTAGACTTGAAATACAACTACTTAAACATGGGCATGCAAGGCCTTATGCTGATTTAGTTTAGAGAATTAGCCCAGGATTCATGCATGCATATTATTCGTATTTCACTTCTTGATTGTAATCAGATCATTATATTGGATACAAGCTTTATTTGGTCTCAAATGTTATCTTTTTCCAGGTCCAACATAGGAGCCAGATGGTTAATGATAAGGCACTGGTACAGAGCTGTCATCACTTGTTCTACTGACTACTATATATTTGTGTTCTTTCTTCAGTGGATCCCCTAATATTGTCTTAGAACACTTTTGGCAGATAAGGTGCGAGTACACAATGGCTAATTTCAGTACAGGAGACCGCACAAGAAAACCAAAGGGGGACAGGTTTGTCTCTTTGTTTTGCTGTCTCTTCCACTTCCTTGAGAGCTATCCCACTACACTGTTCCACAAGAATAGCCACATTTTGTTGGGATGTTCCATATTAGTTGAGGCACTTCTTTTGGAACTTTTGAAGTTAGTTACGTGTCCCACCTACTAAGGTGTTTGTAGTTGATTTTAGGCGATAATATTTGCTTAAATAAAGGCGCAGAAGTTGAATGCTAGGGTACTTTTCACATTTGGTTACTGTTCAACTAGTATTATGAAGTTGTATATCAAACTATGATTTATTGACTGCAGACATGTATACAGGTTTGAATAATTTAACCATTTTTTGTTTCCAGTATGTCATTCATGAATAACATCCCATCTAATGATATACAGGAGATCCACAGAGATTTCTTTGGTTATTCGCCAAACAATGGAAGCATGCATACTAACACACCTAATGCCTCGTTCCCAGGTTCTCTCTCAGCCTAGCTGGATCTATACTTGACCTTTATATTCTTCACTTATGTAACACCCTTCTTTTCACTGGCAGATAGACATTTTCGTCCAGGTTCTCCAAGCAGATGGAGGTAAGAGAAAAATACTGATCAGTCATAGCAAACATCTGATTTGTTACGCATCTCAATTACTTTTTACATTCTTTTCAGGAACAAGGTCTGCTTGCATAAATGCTGCTACATTAGCCCTTGCAGATGCTGGGATTCCAATGCGTGATCTTGTTACTTCATGTAGCTCTGGATATCTAAACAGCACTCCCCTGCTTGGTAAGTGCAAATCCTGAAACTAAGATCTTATGTGTCATTCTTTCCATGGCAATTGTCAGGATGCCTGATAACTCAGAGTTTATATCGGTTTAGCTGATGGTTATGGTTAAGAAACTTTGAATAAACAGATCTAAATTACGTTGAAGATAGTGCTGGCGGCCCTGATGTTACTGTAGGAATTCTACCCAAGTTAGACAAAGTGACTCTTCTTCAGGTTATGCTTATTTTGAGTTGGTGGTTCATACTTTTTTTAAAGTATCTATAATATATAAGGCAAATACTCAGGCGTCTGCCTCACCTCTGGTGAGGTTTGAACCCTTGACCTCATGGAGGTTGGGCTCTACCGGCAACCCAGATAAAGCTAGGCAAATGGCCCTTTTTTTGGTTGTTCATACTTGTCATAAACATATTGCAAAAATTAACAAATTTGGCATCCCATCCATGTTTTGAGTTTCTTTTACCCTAGATTTTTTTGTATAAGAGAACACTATAATTATTTTTTTTTGCCAGATGGATGCCAAGTTGCCAATGGATATCTTTGAAAATGTCATGCAGCTGGCAACGGAGGGCTGCAAAGCTGTGGCAAATTACATCCGAGAAGTAAGAAACTTAATTCTTGTACTTTTCCAGGCCATCAGTTTTTACAGATTCTTATTCTTGCTCCTTTCTATTTCCATCCCACTTCCATTATATCAATGATGTTTAATAATAATTTGCAGGTGTTGATACAAAACACAAAACAACTAGAACATCGCCGTGGTGTATAGCTTGAATGTAGATGCAGTTCCAAATTTTGTGAGCTGATCAATTATCCATTATCTTTCTCTTTTCGGGTAATCATAAAAGATAAAGAAAATTTAAGCATGCCCTAAGCCATCATTAATCTAAATCAACCAGGAACAAAGCCCCAAGGGTGTTCCATACTGTCTTGGGAATAGAAGAATACAATATTTGCTGTACATAGAAACAAGATGAAATTAATAAGCATTTTCAATTAATAACCTTCGGGGTGCATTTGGTACATAGAACACGACAAAACAAAACTTGTCCTATGTTCCACCTATGTCAAATAAGCTTTCTCAGTCGATGCATTTTTTGTGCCCCAAAAATAGGTGGAACAAAAATAGGGACATGAGACAATTAGTACTCCAAGCTACCAACAAATGAACTATACCATTTGATCCCTAATATCAGCCAAATTTTATCGACCTCTTTCTTCTTTCTATAATACAACTGATCGGTATGGGCAGTCTGTATTGGTATCAAAGCTATTCCCATGTTCCAATCTTTCCATTTCTTTACCCAAGAATTACTAAACTAACCATGTCAAATGAAAAGTCTGCATAATTCTTTCGCCTGCCTACTTTATCCTCGCCCATCAGTCCTATGCCGTCCTGTCTGCATACCAAATGCATCCACGTGGTACTGTCTACGTACATACTCCTGGTGGAGACTTAGGATTTGAACCGGAATAGAACTTGTAGCAACCAATAAATGTTTTCAGAAGTTGAATATGGGCTCCCAAAGCAACAAGAAGTAATGGTTATTCTTGTTACTCTTTGTTTTTGCAGGATTTGAGAAAGTTGCTATTGTATGGTTCTTGCTAATGGAGAATCAAGTTTGTGGAGAAAGATGTAGAAGAAGAGACGTGATCAATCATCTGCCGAGCTACTTGTTGTTTGGTTTAAACTTTAGGCGCTTTCGGGCAGTGACAGTGGGTGTATAAGATGCCTGATTATTGGGTAGGTTTAGTTTGGTTAACCTAAATGACATTGTATTTCTTGCAACTTACATTTGAACTTCATATATATCTTAATAGCAGCAAGGTTTCTGAGTCATTTGAATCTGTTACTGTTAAGAGGGAGTTGCATTTGGGTTCTGTTACAAGTTTATTTTTCTTAAGGTAACTGGTTAAATCATAATAAAAAGATTAAAAAAAGGACCGAGTCATCAACCTATCGAGTTTTACACAGGGAAGAACCTTGAGGGGTCGTTTGGTTCGTGGAATTTGATGAAATTGGAATAACATGTTTCTTGACCTGCTTGGTTTGTGGATTGATGGATTGGATTCTGTCAAACTTAGTAGAATTTTCATAGTTCGATTTGTCTTAGAATTTCATGGTTCAATTTTTGTCTTAGAATTTCATAGTTTGATTTCAAAAAGACAAAAATGACATCTAAGGGGGTGTTTGGGATTGCTTATAAAAACAACTTATTGATTTATTCCGGTTTGCCACTCATAATAAGCACTTTTGAGTGTTTAGATAAACAACTTATACCCGTGCTAAACCGGTAATAAGAAGTTTTTGAAGTAGTTAAAGGCTTATGACTAATAATAAGTTGATAAGTGTTTTTATAGAAAAGACGAGAATGGAACAGGGACCTCAATCCCCAATCTCTGTCCTCGTTTCCAACCGTCACAGGGGGAATACGGTGATTTACTTTTTCAATTCAAATTTGCAGAAAAGTTAGGTATTATTAAATGTCAACTGTAGTTTACCAATTCAAATTAAAAAAACCGAATCAAGGTTACCAATAATCAAAACCATTAAATCAAAAATACCAAAACAAAATTATAATCAAAATAATGTGATTCAACATGGTATATCAATAATGATTTGGCAAAATGAAAATAGAAAAAGAAAGATTAAAATACTTTTTTCCAAATTTAAAAGATACTAAATCTAATTTTTTATAAATAATATATTTAATAATAAATATATAATATATTAAATATACAGGGACGGGGCGAGTTGGAGATCACGTTGCCGGGCTCCGTCTTCGACTTCGTCCCCGGTTTTTAACTTTTGGGGGTCCCTTTCCCCGGTCCCTGGTTTTGCAGGGAATCACCGACCCAGGTCGAGATGAGTATACCGGGTTTTCCAATGGGACAAATCTCATTCCCACACTTAAATGCAATTCTAAAGTTATATTATGCAACCCAGACAGATAAATAATTTCTTTGACAAATTCTATTTCATCTCATGTCAACCAAATTCATTATCAAACCTGATTCAGTTCCATTCTAAATCCTTTAACACGTTCCATTAATTCTAAAGAACATTTTGCTAACCAAACACCGAACTTTAGCTATTTCGCCATTCATAAAATTCCCTATGGCACATGACTCATGGTCCTGCATCGCTTCGATCACAATGGTGGCACCGTTAATGATCTAGCCATCAAGTGGACGTCGACCCTTAGCCAAGAGGGCGATCCCTCGACCCGCAATCGGCATTATGTTTGTATTACGCAAACAACAAGATTCCAAGAGTTGCATTCAAGATTCAAAGAGCTTATTACATGACAAACACAACATCCTTTCCTTGCTTTCGAACACAACTAAAGCCCTACTCTAATTCAAGATTGCAGCAGCTTCTAAACACATCTCAACTCAAAATCAGAGATCTTCGCTGCAAAAACTCGAAGGCACGACAACAATCTCCAACCGACCCTTCCATTCTTCTCCCGGCTTCAAACTAATCGGTTTCTCAATCACTGCACCATCCACACATATCATCTGCCTGTATTCATCATCTCCCAAATCTGCCATTGCCTTCGATTTCTTGTCCCAAGGATTCCACACCACTAAACACAAAAAAGAAAACAGAAAGAATCAACACAATCTACAGTTGACTTTCTGAAAACTGGTGTTCAGAGGAAATTCTTGGTGTTCATTGTGACCGTAAATTGATTTAAGCCAATTATAAGCGATCTTACCGACATCTGGCAGCCCTTCCTTTCTTAGCACATACGTGCGCTTCCTTTCATGATCAAGTACAGCAACACAATTTGGTGAACTAAGATAGACCCGGTCAAACTGAAGGCGACACAAAGAACCAATATGAACTTTAAACAATTTCGAAGTGTTTTTTCCTCATAAGATAACATAATTCTTACAACCATCAAGATGTTTTGAATGCTAACTGAAATGGGAAATCCCCTATTTAGTTTTGGAGTCCTAACAATTGAGAATCATTTGTTTGAGCTGGAGTTTTAGTAAAATTACATGTCTTGGAGTCTTCAAGCATCCCCTCATGGTCATCATTAGTTTTTGTGTATTAGGGAAGTTTTATACAAGAACCGTGAGAACCAGTGCTAGAGGGAGGTTCAGGAGAAAACCCCAAAAAATGAAAAACTGAGGAACACTCTGGTACCCATCAGTGTTCAAAAAGGCATGCCATGATATGGCGTAAGACGCGTCTCCACCGTTATGAAATGGCCCATAGCATTACTGTAAGGCGTGGGTCACTCACACCATGGCGTGGGTTTTTTATAAGAAGTGATTTGTGATTTTCTTTTTCAAAAAAAAAAGTATTCTTTTTCTTTTTTCTTTTTTTATCTTTTGTGTTTTTAGACTTTTTAACTTTAGATATTACACTTTTATAGATATATCTAATTACATCACTCACAATTTCACGAATTCATAAACGTTATAGACTCACGATTGAAACGAAGTTGTAAAATTACTTTTATAAGTTATATTTTAAATATTTAATCAAAAACTATTTTTATAATAATAATCTATATGATTTTTCTTCTTCTAATATGAATGTACATTTTTTAATATCATTATTTGATTAGATAATATATAGAAAACACATATGTAAATTTATAATTTTAAATATGACATACAAATTTGCCGCCTTATGTCACGCCTTAAAAAACATCGCGTCCTCGCCGTAGTGTGTAAGGCTTGAGGCTTGACCTCGCTGCCACGCCACGGCTCACGCTATTTTGAACTTTGGTAACCATTCATCTAGACAATATGCATATGTGAATACAAGTAATTGAAGTTGACTCTTTGTTTTTAAGCAAGTGTGCATGCTATGCACATATCCATACCAGACAAATTGCTTACAAATTATTTGTACACACATGTGCATACCTTCCAAATGAACGGTTACAAGGGTGCTCTTTATTTTTCATTTTTTTGTGGTTTTCCCCTGAACTGGCCCTATGTGTATGTGTGTGTATGTGTATATATATATATATAGAGGGAGGAGGGAGGTTTAGGGAAAAATGCAAAAAAATAAAAAACTTAGGAACACCCTGGTAATTGAAGTTGTTTCTCAGTTTTTCATTTATTTTTTTTGCGACTTTCCCCTAAACCTGACCCTATATATATATATATATATATATATATATATATGCATTGATGCATATAAACTGTCAATTAGTATATTCATCAATGCATATATTGGTTCTCATGATTATCAAAATATTTATGGTTCTCGTTTGATCTTTTGCCATCTAGTCTGTATTGTTCTCATGGATGTAGCCTTATTGGGTGACCATGGGCAGGGTCCTAATAGAATTATATCTTCATTGGAGTCTAGAAATATAGGTTAGGCACGTTGTCTTTCTTACTTGTACTAAACAAAACAAAACAAAACAAACCCAATATATCCCGCGTGAAAGTAGGGTCTGCGAGGGGTGGGATGTATGCAGTCCTAACCTCTACGCTCAAAGGGCAGAGTAGTTGTTTCCATAAAGACCCTGGCTTGTGAAAATTCATTTTTAGGGATGCAGCCCAATGGAGTGAAACATGTAAATCTCTATGTTATTTGTGTGTGTGGTTGTTCATCTTTTGCTTGGTTAAAAAGGCATATTATCAAGATTTACCTCAGATTCAAAAGTAATAGCATCTCCTTGTTCAGTAAAGCGCTCTTTGTGACAAAGGTTGTCAAAGTAGTCCATTGTTTCTAACCCTTCAATCCTCACTTCACTGTGAATCAGAGAACAAATTACAATCAAAATCTAAACAACCAAAAGAAGTTCAGCACTAATTACTAATCCTAACATTATAGATATATCTTGATGGTGAATCTTGAAAAGTTATACTTGAAAGCAAAGAACTTTATGCATATATGCAGCACATCATACCTGATGTCAGAGACAGATAGATACGAGTGATACGCAAATGAGAAACTAAAAGGCTTCCCATCAATGTTCCTCACACGGGATATCAACGTCAAGTTCCCATCCATTCCAAGGCATACTCTAAGACGAAGTTCGAAGCTGAACAAAGAGGATCTCAATCAGCCATATGTAACCACTAAAAAAGGACCAAAAATGGCAGTCCATTTGCACATCATGACACTCAATACTTTTAAAGTTCATCTGAGACGACATAAACCAAACCAAACTTACTTAGTATATCCCATCCAAAGGTAGGGTCATGGGGTAAGATGTAAGCAGACCTTACGTCTGTCCCATCATCTGAGACGGCATGATATCAAAAATAGTTCATAAAAATTGAGGCCAAAGGAGAACCTGTGGGGCCAAAACTTGAGGTCTTCTTCAGATGGTTTTAGTAGCAAATCAATAAACGATTTCCTATTTGAATCATTGGCAGGAAGTGATGGAGGATCTTGATCAACAATCCAGATCTTTTTTCTTGCAAAACCATGTTGCTCAAGGGAACCACAGCTACCAAACTGCACAATGAGTTACAGGTTAAAGCATAGTGAACTCTAATCACTAGTTTTAGCCCAAAGCACACAGATTTTCACAAGATTTGTGGATTTACCTGAGGAAAACAGATTGGAATACCTCCTTGCATTGGTTTTGGGGCCTTACCATTTGCCTGAACATTGTCAAAAATCAATGCGTATTAATCTTGTGTCTGTAGTCCATCAAGCTGTTGTGTCCTAAACATGATTTGCAATTCAGAATTGCAACACTCCCTTCTTTTACTTGCGGGTATTTTAGACATTTGACTGATAATCAAACACCTAAATGTGATTTTCATCGAATATGAAGAGTACTAGATTTTGAAACCAAAAGCTATTGATCTTGGTACAATTTTCAAGGGTATTTAGACATTTTACTGACAGTCAAACCCAAAGATTGCAACTTTCCACCAGAGTTTAAAATCAAATGCTTATAATTCTTGTTATGAGGTCATCAAAACTGACTATTAATAGCACTATTTAGCCGTAAAATTTGTGGATTATATCAGAGATTCTAATTATAGAGATACAATTCACACTGGTTGTGACCACAAGCTTAAATTTACAGAAAATCCCTAGAAATCAACCTTAATTTCTAAGACTGCTGCTATTTTTGAATCGATCTACACTTACAGAAAACAGAAGCAAGAGAAGATAGAATTGAAGTCCTAAAATGGTAAGAATTCAATCAAGATCCTGCAGAAGACATTATAGGACAACACAAATCAAGGGAAAAAACGCCACCTTACTACTAGTAAACAGGAGTTCTTCGCCTCGGTCATTCCGCCACGAAATGACCTGCCCGCCGTGCAAGCTGACCTGGAAAAACAATAGTGTATGGATCAATAAGAAAATCTAGATCTTTTTACCAAAAAACGGTAAGAACAAAATTTCTTCATTAATTCAAGTTTTCTATTGACAAACTGAAACTAAAGGCAAGATCTAGAATTTATGGGAAATAGTGCTTAGAAATCGGATCAAACCCTAGCTGAAGCGCCATGTGGATTCCGAAGCACGATTTGATCGATTCCATTCCAGTCTTTTACATTTTCAGTGGCAATCTTGGAATCCCAGACTGCTGCAGAATGCCCCATTTTTCTCTGAAACCCACAAATCTCTTGACCCTTCTCTTAATTGGCTTTTATAAACCCTAAACGAACGTTTTGCGCATGATAAATGTCGATATCATTTGAGAGGTGGTGACAAGTGTCACTATTTTTTAACAACTACCCGTATCATCTTTCTTGTGAAAAAAAAAAGAACACCCTTTTAATCTTGTGAACAATCTATAAAAACCCCAACTACTAAATTCAATTCTTTCCCAATCTAACCCTCCTCATACTACATCAAACTGCTTTCCAAAATTGGAAAGTGGTATCCATTTGCAAGCTGCAGATGATCTCCTACCTAAAATTCAATAAAAAAAATCCAACCAAATTTCAAATGAAATCAATCAAATGCAGAATAAAAGTAGCAAACAACACATGTACCAGAACAAAACAAAAAAAAAGATTAAATGCATACAAACTTCCATGGATGGAATCTTTCTTTAATAAACCCATTTCTTGAATTTGAGTCTCACAATGAACTATCAATCCCTTTTACATACATGCATCCCACATATCAAATCAAGAACAGAAACAAGTCCCTAAACTTTTGGATCCAAATCTTTTTGCTACAGTGAAAATAGCATATCAAGATAGCCTCTAAATTCCAAGTAAAATAGAACTAATAATGGTCATAATGAAGACTGAAACCTTGAAATCCAAACAACACCCATTTGAGGAAACAACGAGCATTAATAATCAAGATTGAAGGCATCATTTAGAGCTTAAAAAGAAAAGAGAGAGGGAAGAAGAAGAGGAGTTCACTTACATTGCTTGGTGGGAGATGTGAACACCGCTTGGAGCAATAATATTTTTCAAGAAAAGGCCTTCAATGGTAAGATAAGTAACGTTTGGTACTTTTTTACTTGTGGGTTTCTAAAATTGAGCAAATTGAAGGTGGTCAAAATTGGAAAAAGGCCAAAAAGTTGGAAAGGTTCAGAGATTCTATATTTTATTTGAATTTTCTTAGGGGCAGGCCAAAATGTCTGCTATTTGTTGAGGAAAAGAGGATCATGAAGCAGGCAGTGATGGCAACTGACTTGTGGACCAAGCTGTGGATGTGGTGATTTTTATAGGTACTTATTAGGGCTAAAAAAATTGCACCAAACCATCTTAAATATTTTATAATAATCATAATAAGGTGTTTTTACATATACATATAAAAGATAAGGTTTGATGAGAACAATTTTTTTGTGAGACTGTTGAGAACTTTTTAGAGTCGTTGATCTTTTTTGATTTGATAGACTTGATTACCTGTGTTTCTGTAAAAGAACGAGCATTTTCGTTTTCTGTTTCCAAGGAAAATCGGACCTTCATCCATCTTCATCACCTTCGTTTACTTTTGCATATCTACTTGTATCACAATGACTGAACTTTCAACAAATTTAATGGGAAAGTGAGAGGAGGTATGTGATAAGGTGAAGGTGGATGAAGGTTTGGTCGTCCTTACAGTCATGCAACAGAAGTTCTATTTATTTGTAAATGTCACCTCGTTTTCGTGAGTCGTTAGATGAAAAGAAAAATCATCAATTGTAATGGCTCAGAAGAGTTCTCACCAAACTCAATTGTTCTTACGAATTATGTGATGCCAAGTCTACATATACATGTAGAGTTAGTATCACGTGCGATATTTTTATTTTGTGGAAAGAAGAGAAAAGGTTAAAGTATGTTTATATTGTGTGAATGTTACGTTATACTATGTGAATGTTCCAACCTTCACATGACTTGAGACTGTGTATTGCAATATTACATGTTCGTTGACCGTAACCTGTATATACCTTTGCGTTCACTTTATTCCGTCATTACATGTGATTAGGCCATATTCGTGTTTTCTTATTTTGATTATGTTATCGTTTCGATAAATATGAGAACACCTTTTGATGATTTTTTAATCTAACATGGACACATTGACATTTTTGTAAATAAATGTAAGCAAGGACCGACCTGCGCACACATTTACATGAAAAATAGACATACATTCACATGAAAATCATTAAACCCTGACATTCACATACCTTAACATATAAAATGTTGAACTTACAAATATCTTAACATGAAAAACACAAAAACATCATTCACCTTCACATGCATGCATTCACTAAACTTAACATACATACGCATACCATCACTACTACATACATACATATACAGAGAAAGAGAGAGACGAGTTCATACGAGAACGATACCTATTTAACTAAGAAAATGACTGAATTGCATGTGATCTTATACTAATATCACGTATAAAATCACATGTTACCCATGCGACCTTGTCATGCGATCATAAGGTCGCCCTCACACTTTTTTAGCTGTTAATATAAAATCACATATGACTTATATATAACTTGATCATTTTCTTATTTTTCTTAAAGATGTAAAATTCTCGTACAAACCTACCTCTCTCTCTCTCTCTCTCTCTCTCTCTCTMTATATATATATATATATATATATACTATATTATAAAACATTTGACAAAAATTCTTAAAAACCAATTTTTATGCGTAAAGTACTGTTTATTAATGCATATTACTTAAAACTCAAGATTGCAAGTAAATTGTGCGTAAGTACAACTTATTAAAGCTCCATATCTGAATTCGTGTAACTAACTGCAGATAAACATAATCAAATACAGGATAAACATCTCATTTTAAATATAAAAAATCTAAAATATAATTAGGATAATCATTGAGTTCTAACTATATATATTTAATTATTATTTTTATAAAATGTTATGTTATTAAATCAAAAATAAATTATTCTGTTATTAAACTTAAATTAAATTATAATAAAAAAATTAAAGAAATTACATAAAAAATAAGAACTTTTAAATAGTTGATTTGATATTAACATTGATATATATATATATATATATATATATATATATATTTCAAACTTTTATGATATTTGTTTTCTTAAAAACACATAAAATCGTATTATAACATCGACAGAGACAAATAATAAAATAGAACATTAAAATAGAAATGTGTCTCGTTGCATTATACAAGTATTCTTCTAGTATACATATATATGTGTGTGCGTGTGTATTTGTATTCATAATTATTACAGATAAGATATATTTTCAAATATGTTATACACCGTCCAAAATATTTCTTATTGTCTGGTAAGAAGTCTAATGCAAGTTGGAAACAACTTATGACTTTAATAGGTAGTGGTTACTTTAGTTACGACGGTTGATAGTATTAGTGGGTAATACGTTACTTCATTTTAGTCTTTGAATTTTCTCTTTTAAAAATACAATTAAATATTTTTTATTAACATTAAAATTAATTTTACCGCAATAACTAATTTTCAGAGTCTAATTAAAATAAATTTGTTTTAATATTAATAATAAAATTAACACAGAAATAGGGCATCTTTTTGGGAGAGATGGTTGCAGGTGGGGTCCTCGAGGTTGTTTCGTGTCGTAAAATCTTATCGTATGAAATACCGCTGGACTAAGGACCTTTTTACCAACCGTTACTCTTTCGTTTTTGAATAGTCCAAGGCAATTGATGAAATCCCACTTCAAGTAACTTGTATTCATATGTGCATTTAGATTCAATTCAACCAACACATCTTTATATACTTACTACACAAACCATATATATAGGTTCAAATTGCAGGAGATTAAGCTAGCTAGGTGGTAACTAATTACAACAAACTATTGCTGGCCAACACTCTGAAAACTAAAAACACATTTCAGTTTGCTTTCACCAAATCCTATAATAAACTCACTCCTTTCCTCTCTACTTATTGTTAGAACTAATTGCAGTTGCATTAATTAATAGACCCAACTTACACAATTAACTTTAAAGGTACAAATGGGTTAGCCTTAGCCTTACCCTTACCCTTACCCTTACCCAGCAGCAACAGCGTCGGCTCTGGGGTTACCGTCCAGAAGTTGACGCAGGGTTGCACCAGAACCAGTGGCCTCTCCATCGTTTCTAACAACAGAACCAGAACCGTTATCGACTCTGGAGAGTAGGTTAGCAGTGCTGAGAGACGAACCCTTTTTGTCAGGCCTTGGGTCTTCTCTAGCTTCTTCGTGTTGTGTGTTCTTAAGTTTTTCCTGTAACCCCAAGAACCACATTATAATTTGTAGGGTAAAATGGAAGTACTCTATTCATCCCAACAAAATTGCAATCTTTGACTATGCATGCAGGGATTACAAAAGGGAAGGTTGGAATAAGAACCATGAATATTTTGGGAAGCCAACTATTCATAATGAATGTTGTGATAGATATTCAATAATGAAAGTTATTCATAATGAAAATACATGATATTTATGATAAAATTGCATATCATGAATTATGAAAATGCATAATATTCATGATTATTCATCATAAATCATACATGAAATAGTGGGTTCTCAAAATATTTATGGTTTTCATTTGAACTTTTCCTGGACTACAAAAATGTCTAAAAAATACTTGTAAAGCCAAATCAATACCTATCGGTTTAATTATGAAGGCTTATGTGAAACTTTCAGAATAAAAGAATTTTGCAATTTTCACGGAATGGAAAGGATGAAGTATATAATAAGGAGATTGTGGAATTTGGACCAGTACCAGTAGTTTAGCATTTTGAAGCTTCAGATTAGCAGAATTAACAGTTAACCGGTTAATCTCAGACTTGAGGGTCAAATTCTCACTAGTGAGGGCTTCAACTTTGCCACCAAGTTCTTCAGCCTCAGCCTGGATATTGGAAGCAGAATAAAATTAATCATGCAAGTCAGTTGTTAAATATGCACAACAACAATAGGAATAGTAAGAATATATACCTTAAGAGGGAAAATTCAATTTATTGGTGATTGTGGTTTACTATCTGAATGATTCGGTGATTGTGGTTTACTATCTGAATGTTTCGGTGATTGTGATTTAGTTTTCTTAACAATGCTACCATTACTACCATTGTCCATACAATAGAACTGTTGATGCAACCTGGCATTACATGTGTACTATATCACTGACATGGCACTAAGATGGTGTTTTTTAACTCTTCTAGTTCTTATGCGAGTCTGTGCTCCTCCACAAAAGTAACCATGTGCTTGTCCAGTCAGAAATTCGGTCTAATTTGAATGGCCAATGACTGTAACCATACCATTATTATCGGAGCTAAATTGATCATGCAGACGGGACAGGACGGGCAAGTGTGGTAGACCGGGAAAAAGTTCTGGAATGTTGTAGGGTTTTAATTTAACATGTATTCAGTAGTATAGTAATTTACCAATTTCCTACCATAATTCTGTTCCACCTATTTTGGTACTCAGGTTCTGTCATGTCCCTGCCTAATGTCGGGCCAAACATGGGAAAACAAGGTTTTATGTTGTATTGTCTTGTCCCGATTACCAAACCAAGTGACTGCATTGCTAAAATCAGAAAACCAAGAACCCAAATATATGCCTTTCCATACTTCTTATACGACTAAGATCGTGATATAAAAAGAGTTCCTTCTACCTGTTTCCTTAATCTTGACCTCCTGGCAGACTCTCGGTTAGACTGCTTTCTTCTCTCCCTTTTCAGTTCTCGCTCATTCTGGACATATATCACATGAACCAAACTCAGCACTTAAAATTCAAATAGGAATGTTTCAAGGTAATCATGCTGAGATTCTAACTCCTCTATGCCTAACAAATAAATGAAATATAACCACAATGGACCTGAAGTATGGCAGTGCTGGGTATCATGGTAACAGCAGCTGAAGTCATGTTAGCAGCTGCTGGAGACTTCTTAAGCTCGAGCTCGGTGCCTGAATCCGCAGATATAACCACTCCTATTGTTTTACCCAAAACCTTTCCAGGAGCAACAGCGAGACCTGTTACTTTCTTGGAGCCTCCATTTGCATTCGTAGAAGGAAGTTGGTCACTTTGCTCAGTCTTGCCAACTTCAGCTGATGGTAAGAAAGGTTTAGTGAAGATATAGACAGAACGACTGCACAACAAGCTTACAGTCGATCTTTTGCTCTTAGTTTATATTTGCCACCCTAAAAAATTAAATCAAGTAAAATCTGGAACTTACAACTTGTAGATGATCCTCCGCGGCTCCTTTTTCGACCATTTTTAGCTCCCTGAACGTAACATGGGAGAAGCTTTAACGTCATTTGCAATAAGAAGCCATATAGCAGCAATGTAGAAGTTTCAATTCTTACCTCTGTTGTATTCCCATCACTTCCTTCGCTGGATCCTTCAGTCTCCCCACTGTTTAAACAATTATATGATTTAAACGTCACTAATTAGAAGAATGTGCATGGGGATAGATGTAAGTGGTCCCAATTCATTTGTTTACATATTGAGTAGTATTTCATTTTTTGCTGCACAAGTCACTCAATGTGTTGGCAGCAGATCTGAGAATATTAGACTGATACACCACTTAGCATACCTCTGAGAGATCCCATTGTCATTTCCACCTTCTGCACTGCCTCCATTGTCGTTGCCTATTGACATTGCCAACCCATCAAATCCTTTCAACTTCTTAACCAAGCCTCGATCCGAATTCCCTGATGACTTGGCAGGAGAGTCAATATGCATAGGACTAGCTGCCTGCATCATATGAAGATGAGATCAGTATGAGGCACATACTACGCACAAAAGGCTTGCCCACTTTCTTCCTCCAACTCCAGTTAATGCAGAAGCTACAATTAGGTAGAAGTAACTAATAGACTGTCATCATAAGACCAGAAAGAGGAGATACTCAAATGCAGCTAAAAAGAGAACAATCAATTTACTTAACATGATACAGAGCTTGCCAAATAATCACCGAGACAATTAATCTAGAATCACAAAAACAGTTTCTCTATCCCTTGGGATAGAGGTGAGCTCTGCGTCCATCTTAACCCCCCAGACCCTACTTCTGAGTGGGATATAGTGGGTATGTTTGGTTTACAATTAATCCTGAAACAATATTCTATGGGCCCATTCAATAAAAATTGTTTGATCTAATTTTGCAAATACTCGTGGTATTGGCTTACAAGAAAACAAGATCCACACATTGTCGTGAGCTCTAAAAACCATCCAATATTTCAAGAACCATTATCAATATGACTTATTTAATAAAGATATTCCAATTTTATATGCAAATACATGTCGTATTAATTTAAAGAAAGATCGAAAGATTGTTTTCAGCATTAGGAACAATTTGATCTCGGCTTGAAAGATCATGCACTTGCCTGCTCCTAATGTAAAAAGGAGACACTAGACCTTCCCTGAAGTTTCAAATGCTAAGCTAACATGTAGTCTTGATGATGTTAATATTTAAACGTCGTGAGGACTTACAACAGTAACTCCTGGATGTGCATAAACACCACCATGTGGATAGATTGCAGCATAAGGTGGCATCATATGCTGTAACAAGTACAAGAAAAGGTCAACGGGTTGATTCATGATGTAAGTTTCAACATATTTAACGAATTGCAGTTAGTCATGGTACCTGTAATGGTCCCCACATATAAGGTGGAGGTGCATGACCAGATGCAACAGCTGAGCTGAAGTATGGTGGCACAGCCATTCTGGGGCCATAATAAGCCTGCAAAAATTATGCTAGTCACTCCAACGAGTTTCATTAGTCAAAGAGCTCTACTTTATATGGTCAGCATAAATGGTGGTTAAAATTGACAAACCTGCATCGCTGCCCAATCAGGATATACATGGCCCGTCTGCTGCTGCTCCTGACAAGGTAAAAGTAATCGAATTCCATAAAACAAAATAATTGTACTCAAAATACAAATGGAATAACATTTTGTGAGACATAACTAAAGCATTGCACAACCTAAAGGGGAGACACAAGAATTGTAGAGATCTAAGTCTGTCCTTCTGTATATTTAAAAAGGATGGAATACAATGGTACATACAGCAAGAGAAGGAAGCCCCACAAGTAGAGGTGGCAAAACAACTCATTTAATGGGTAGCGCGCCTGTTTGACCAGTTAAATTTCAAACAGTGGATCATAATGGGCTTAAGAGCAACCAAGGGCGGGTCAGATTGAGTCATCCAACAAATTACATGCTAACAAGCATGTGTACAGCAACGGGTGAAGTAGGTCAAACCATCTTCACCACCACCAGTCTGGAGCTGCTGCCGTTGTTGTTGCCACCATCGTCACCACTATTATATGGTTATTTCAATTTTCAAATATAACCAATAATAAAAAGAAATTACAAGCAATTTGTATCTAAACCTGTTCTAAAATTTCAATTCTAAGATCTTTTATTCAAAAATTAGTAGTGATATTTGATTTTTTTTTCCCTTCAGTTCTAAATGTAATATGATATGGTAGAGCATAAAATGGCACAAAACCGTAGGATATATGAAATCCTATAATATTGTAAGACACGGTACAAAGCAGTACAATCACCATACAAAATGGTATAACACAACCGAAATGGTATGAGAGGTTATTAGGCGACACAAAAGGTATATAGTGGTGCGAAACTTTACATAACTATATGTTAACTTATGACATGATACGAAAAAGTGCAACATGATATAAGTGATATTTCATAAAAGAAAGGATACATACCGTATGATCACAAAACGCTTGATAAAGTAATATTTTATAAAATAATGTACTCATCAGTTATCTCTACATAGCCGATATAGATAGTAACATTTATGATACGGTACAGTTGAATAGTAATTTTGCAAAAATAATTTGATATTCTAATTCGTTTGTACCTTGTTATTGACTTTGTTTTTATACTATGTGTTTATGTATTTGTGTATACATATACACACAATCATTGTTTCAAAAATCAGAGAAGAAATGAACAGTGAAAGAAAATAAGTGTTTGTATGCACAGGGCCAACCCAACCCATTTGACCCATGAACTGTTTTGATGCATTTAAAAATAAACACCCAACTGATCCACTGATTTTAGTACGTTACAAGAATCCACCCGCCCAGCCTATTTCGCCTCCTCTGCCAACAAGATGTAAACATATTGCAAAATATGAGTAGTTGTTTTCCATCTTACCAGAGAAGGTGAAGACGTTTCGTCGTGCTTAAAATCCTTTGCTTCTTCTGAGTTCCCCATGGGCAAACACCTTAAACTGATTCAAAGTTGATGTGTGAAATCCTTTCCACGTTCAGCTATAAAATTTGTTTTGCTAAATGCTTGCTCACTCGGCTGCAAGAGGATAGGTGGCAAGATGACAGGGAAGAGAGGTTACAAGATGAAATAAATAAATAGACAACAAGATTCTAGTAATCTTGAACACAACCTTTGCTAATAATTAGGAGACGCCCAAGAATAAACATCAAAAAATAGCAAACATCTTCTATTTGGTAGCACTGAAGTCACTTTTAATGTAAACCCACAATATAGTCTTTATCTTCACATTGCCAAAAGAAAATCCATGTTGGTAAAAGAAGAACAAGATAGGCACCACTCGGAACTCGGAAGTATACTATAAACACTAAAGCACAGAAATGTTAAAACAAAGAATAGAAAAAATCAATGTTCTACCTACAGGTAAATGAATTAAAGAAGACATAATACAGGCTATTTACGTAAGTTATTAATCGATGCACATCTTTGTTCGGCAGGATAAAACCTCCCTCCCCACCTGCTAACCGATTCAAGTCTCACCATAAGTATCATTCTGGCTAAAAATGTAAATCAACTTGAATGCTGCAATGGTAATCCATTTATAATTAACTAAATGAAATTACTCAAAATGCTGCAAGATTTTCTAACTGGCTTCATAAATGATAAGGGGGGCTTTTGATCTAACGATTTTATCACAAACCCGCACAGAGATGACGGAGACTTTAAAAAATGAAAGATCGTAAGAGAGGGCAAAGTAAACATTCCATCAATTATTTTTGGATGAGATGGAGTGACCACTCACCTTTATAGATTTAAAGGTTCAGGATTTCATTCTAAAACATCACCTCCAGTCCTCCACTGCCCTCACACACCAATAGTGTATCCGCCAACCTATGGCCCACACACATAAAACCGTAGCCACAGCCGCCAACAAAGTATTGAATAAATCAAAATAAATTACATGTGTTCTTATAAAAGAGAATTGTTTTCCCAGGAAAGCATCTCCCAGGGTCCATACCTAGTAAGTAATCACTCATTTTTTTCCTACATCCTTACATCCATCAAGGTTCTTTCCTGAATCATATAATACATGCCCTTTCGAATTGGAATCCAAGCAAGTTCCGGTTCATGTTTTATTCCAATTTCAATCCCCAAACCAGCAAGTTGTTACTTTAGAAATCGATCAATCTTGACCTAAAGAAAAAAGGAGGTAAGAAAAAGGAAAAAAAGAAAAGGTACAGGCCATTAATGTCCTTCCCTGATCCACATCTAACGAGAATAAAGTAAAACAACCCAGCCAGCCAGCCAGGCAGCCAGATTTACCAATCTGGCAACCCAGGATACCCTAATAACTAATTGACAAAACAATCCTCGTATATTCAGACCAATAATTACACTCCAGAAAAATTAGAAATTTCCATAAATATATAAAACATTCCAAACCTCTACAAAAAAATGTTCAGCTACTAAAATCGGAAGCTTAAAAAGAAAAGTTAGTGTATATCAACACATTGCCTTCAATAATTTTCAAACACTCGTTTTAATTTCACAGTTTAAATCAATTGAGTTCTCGCCGTGTTAATTTTCCCCAAATTATCAATTTCTGATCTCTCTGTACGCACATAGTGCTCATCAAATCCTATACATACGCAAGTGACGATTAGAATTAGACCTAAATCAACACAAACTCAACAGCAAAATCCAACAAATGAATGGAAAATTTAACTCTAAACTATAGAAAAACAACAAAATTCAACTGACAATGATCAAAATTAAGATATTTACAAGTGAATTGTGTAACAAAAACCGATTCAGAAATATGTAAGAAAAATAAAACTCATATCTTAGAGATACCTGAGTTACATGAAGAATTCTGCTGCATTTTGTTTCTCTCTCTCTCTCTCTGTCTCTCTCTCCGAAACAAGGGAGGGAAGAAGTGTGGTCTTTTTGCAGAATGTAGAGAGAGAAATAGAGAGGGACAATACAACATTCCACGTCACGAGACACGTGTTATTGGGCTATTAAATAAATATTAAATCCATTTATATTCTAAATTAAACGTCTTCTATATTTTATTTTGAAATTATTGCCATTTGTTTCCTTTTTAAATGAATTGTTACTAATTTTTAAATAAATATTAGGGAAAAGTACAATAAAAACCAATGAACTTTCTTGTTTGGAATGATTAAGTCCTTGAACTTTTTTTTGGAACAAATAAGTCTTTGAACTTTCCAAAACATGTTAAATAAGTCTTTGGACAATTTTTTGGCACAAATAAGTCCTTGGACATTCTAAAATATGTTAAATAAGTCCTTAGACATTCCAAAAAATGTTAAATAAGTCCTTGGACAATTTTTGGAACAAATAAGTCCTTGAACAATCCAAAACATGTTAAATAACTTTTTTGAACTTTTATAAAACATGTTGGATACATTCTTATGACTTGTACAACTAGTTAAAATGGTAATTATTTTTTTGTAAATGTAAGTACTTTTTTGTTATATTTGTTTAATTGTATAGATCTAAATATTTTTTGGTTCAAAAAATATTTAAGGGCTTAATCGTTCAAAATATGAATGTTCATTGGGTTTTTTTCCGGATTTTTTTCACTATTTTACCATTTATATTGTAAATTAAACGTCTTTTATATTTTATTTTGAAATTATTGCTATTTGTTTTCCTTTTTTAATGAATTATTACTAATTTTTAATTTAAAATTTAATTTTTAGTGGCTCGTATAATAATGTCTGTCGAAATCGTTAACTTATTTTTCTGAAAGATCAAAATTAATTAAAAGAACATAAACAAATACATGATTCATATAAAAGTAATAAAAGCAAAACTTGAGTAAACGAATATTTTTTCTGAAATTGACATAACAACGAAGACAGTGTGTATTTCAGTTCTAAAAGAGAAAAAAATTTACTCAAATACATAATAGATTTAAGTTCGAATTATTGGTTTGATGATGATACATACGTTTTAATTGTTGGTTTGATGTCATTTTAATGAAAAACTAAAACTTTATTAGGTATTAATTATATTGAGTATTTTAATATAATTCATGTAAAAATCTTAAAAATAAGAAAATCATTGGAGTTAAATATAATTTTTATAATTTAAAAAAAATATATTTTGATGAAATTACATATAAACTATAAGATTACAACCTGAATTAGTAATTATAAATTTGTTGGGAATAAATAAAAATGTACAATTGATAAGAGCGAATGACTAGACACAATTTTTAAGGAGGTTAATGCAAAAACGTCTATTCTAAAAATGAACATAGAGATTATTTTTATTATATTTGGTTTTATTAATTCAATAAAGCATATTTGTAAAATATATAAATTAATTTTTATAAAATGTATAACTTAATATATTTATTAATTTTGATGTATTTATGTGGTTTTTATGCAAATATTATTTATTTTGTTTGATGAGTTTTGAATTTTTAAATAAGTATATATATATATATATATATATACACACACACACACTAGAAGAGTACTCACGCAATGAAGCGAGATAAATCTCGATTTTAATGTTTAGTTTTTATTCTTTTTCGCTATCGATAATAAGTTGTATGTATGCAAATTTATTTGTAATATTGAATTTTAAGTAATGTGCATCAATAAACAATACTTCATGCATAAAAAATGAGGTTTAAGAGTTTTTGTCAAATGTTTTATAATATAGTATAGATAATTAGGTGAATGATCGTTTAAGAATGAAAATTAAAGTGAGAAATGTAACTATGGATTTAAACTCTTAATCAACTTTAATTTCAAACTCACTCATGAATGGCTCTTGATATAAAGATTGATATGGTGTATCTTGATGCATTTTATTCTAATATACATTCAAGAGTGGAGATCTCTTCTCACTTTAACTTTCCTTTTCATTAAAACTCAACCCTATATAATTATTCACAATTATTTAAAAAATACATATTTCGTTTTATCTATATTCAATAATAATGATATACTTTCACAAAATAAGTAGAGTAATAAAGTTAACAAAAAAAATAATCTAAAAAAGTTGAAATGTATAAACTAAAAATTAATATTAGACAATGTAAATTAATAGTTATTTTTAAATTTTTCAATAGTAATTTTAGTTTATATAAAGAGAGAGTCTGTGTGTGAGAGGTTAACGGGAAAACCATAAGAAAAATGTTCTTACAAATCTCTATGTAATTGCTTTTTAACGACTAGTTTTGAACTCGCATTTTTTTGTAGTAGGTGATTGGTAGCGCATTTGGAATGTCAACGTTCCTTACAAAGTTAGATATTTTGCTTGGTGTGCTTTATGTGACATGACGTACTTCCCACCTGTCTTTAACTACAAGCGCCTGGGATACGTATCTCCCTACTTTGCCCCTTATGCGAACGCAATTTGAAGAACTCTTGGCACACATTTGTGGGTTGTCTTACGGTTGCTCTAGCCTGATTAGAGGTGGTCTTTGGACCAAGGTGGACAGAATGGCAGGAGAAGCAGACTCTTTTATCGATCTTGCCTTCAGGATGCTCAGAGAATGCTCGAGATATATTGGCGTTCAGTTTATTATGGTTTTATGGAGTCTTTGCCAACGAAGAAATGAATCATTTGGAACGTTGGGCCTCTGAACCAACTTCTATCACCCACCAAGCGTCGAATGATCTCATGGAATGGACTCGGGTTCGAGGTTTAAGTTCTTTTGACTAGATTCCAACCAACCCTGTGCACCAATAATTGACATTCTCTAAGACAAGGCTTTAGCAAATGTAATGATGATGTCGTTACGTTCAAGAATAAAAAATTTGCAGGTTATGGTGCCATCGTTCGGGACTCTAGAGGCAAGTTCATCTTGGCCAAAGCTACTCCTGTTAACTTCCTTCCACCGGTTACATAATGCGAAGCGAGAGTTCTCATTGATGTTATTTTATGGTCTTTAAGCTGATGCTATACAAGACACAGTTGGAACAACTCGGAGTTTGGTGATATTACTGCGGATATTCGCTCTTTTCTCCTCAATCACTGCAACTACTTTGTTCATACCACCGGTAGACAAGCTAACGAGGTGGCTCACATTGTGGCGTGCCACTCTCGTTCCGTGTCTTAACATTTTTCATTCATGGCGAAAAATCGTGTGAGAAGGAGAATTAAAATAAGAAGCGTAAGAAGAAATCTGGACATTTGATCACCTTTAATCGCCATGAATCACGTTTGATACATGGATTGATTTAGTGCATCTCGATATATGTCATCCTATTATGCATCCAAAGATATAGATTATTTCTTATATTCTCATTTTAATTCTCATTTTCAATGAAACTCAACCATTTTATTCATCATCGCCTTTTCTTGTTCCTTGTATTGATGACATTTGTCAAACGTATCATTGAATGATGGACATAACGAAGCTGATTAGTTTCACAATGTTCCGTCTTTTCAAAAAAGTTGAGAAAAATTAATAAAATATTAAATTGAATTAAAAATTAAAAAAATAAAAATATTTCAGCATTATACACACACACGTGGAGGTGTCGTGTCCAAGGTGCTGATTGAGCTGGCCCTTCACTACCGTGCTGGCCGTAGTGTACTCCTTTAACTTATTATAATGACAATATTTAGTTATTTACACTTTGCTCCCTCTATCATTTTACATATTTGGTCCTCGATAAGTTGAGTATTCATGGTTTTGCCACAAAAATTAATTCTTTTAAGTACCTTTTTTTAACTTTAATTTAATTTTCTAGTGTGGCAACATGAGATGTGTGTATTTTGTTAGATTACTACTTTAAATTTTTTATCCTTGATATAAGACTTTAATATATACTTTTCATTTATATGTTTTTAGGAGAGAAAACAGTTATTATGTAATGATTAACATACATGAAATGATCCACACTGTTACTTCAGCGTATTCTCATAGCATCATAGCAATCTTAATGGTGACATGAGAAGATACCAAACAAGCATTTCATAAAGTAACCAAGAGTCAAAGTCCTTGAAAATAAATCAAGATGTTTCAAGCCAATAAGCAATTCAAGACAATTGAAAATAACTACTCAAACACAAAAAACGATACCAAGTATGAGTCCTAGCAACTGATTCAACAAGGACACTATAAGCAAGCGCAAATTTAAGGAGCGATTGGGTCTCATGCCACAAATAAGCTTGTCTGATGTAATGTAACTACGACAATGATTCGTTTTGTGGTACCACTGCTAGAGTCAAAGGATGTTAATAAGTATGCACCAAAAAAGAGTTGCATAAAACTATATAAATAAAAACGTAGGTCAAGATTTGTGAATGAACAATAAAATTGTGAAAATATTTTCTATGAAGTAGCAAAAGTCATTGACCTTGGTGTATTAGGACATGTATTCAAAAATTTATGATAGAAGGGGATAAATTGTGTTGTTTATAAAATTGAGGACTAAAACGTACAAATTTAAGGAACTATGAGGGTTCTTTATGGTCGATTAGATAAATAGGTGCACCGAAGTAAGAATCCTCCATTTGTTCATACAAACGGCAGAGTTAACGATTACACGTGTCCGTTTCAGACTCGATCTACGAAGCATCAAATCCGGCCAATCACTCCATCATCATGTGGATGACGTGGCGTCGCCCCACAGTATTAAATTAAATCAAGTACCGTGACCCCATCCTTAAAAAAGAATAATTCATCTGTTAAAATTGATTCAAATAATATCGATATATTTTTTAAAAATTTAAATTAAAAAAAATACTTTTAGCATTCACCAATGAATTTTATATAAAAATAATAACTTCATGAGAATAATACAACAATAACATTTTAAATATTTAAGAAATTGTTCAAATTTATATAAATTTTACATTTTTTAAATAAATTTAAATAATTCTCTCTAAATAAATTTTTATACACGAATTCAAAACGTTT